CCACGTAAATGCTTAAAACCGTGTTTTGTACGAAATTCTAAGTAAATGCTAGCTATGATATTATGATGGTGATAGTGATCAATATTACAGTAACAATGATGATGACTTAATAGTCAGCAAAACTGCAACTATCTAAAGACCAAAGCGACCACTTTTATTTACAAATACACTTTAGGAAACAATCAAGAAAATATGCTCTCAGATATGAGAGCTATTCCACATTGGTTTAATGCAATTTCACTTTGAAAATATTCATGTGATACTGTAATAGCAATCAGACTTTGCCTAAAAATTATAACCTAAATAAATTACCTGTGCGGGGAAAAGAAATGTAAACAATGCTAACATGATGGTACATATAGGTCTTTCTCTTATAGTCCAAAAGTACGTTAAAATAAATTTACTTACTGTATGTAAATAAAAGCTTTAAAATATGAATATGCTGTATTAAAACATTTCATACTGAAAAAAATGAGAATTTCTGATATTTTAGAATGGTGCCTTTCTTCATCATCCATGCATTGAAATCTCAGGGTAAGAAAGGGGCCAGACCAACTCTGAAAGGTTTCAAATATCAAACTATACTATTATGTCAGTGCCCTAAGATCAATTAGCACCTTTCAATGACAAAAAAGGTTACAGTGAGACTCAGAGGTGCACTCTCTGAAACTGTCTCAAACCACTCTATAAATATGGTTTTGATAACACAAAATGGCTTCTATTTTAAATTAATCCGTTTCATCTCTTTTTCTGGAGATGTGGAAGGGGTTAGGGGAGTAAGAACAGTGGTGTTCATTTTCTATATCTCTTTACTAATGAAAACATGGATGGAGAAACACCAAGAATCACAAACTTCAAGAGTAAAATGACATATCACCAAGGCATATATTAATGTGCAGGTCCACAAGCAATATTCAGTGACAGCAATGTTTATGAAGTCTTCAAACCTCTTAAAAGCAATCAAAGTTGCCTGTACTGCCTTTTAATGTGTAACTCTTGTTCATTTTCTTCTCTTAAGTTCAGGCTAAATGACACCAAGTTTGGCTCCAAGAATGATTTAATAAATATGCAGTGTCCCCCTCATTAAAACACATCGAACTACAAGATGCAGTATTACACACACTGCCATTTCATTACACCATTGCATCTCACCCATCTCCAGGGCAAATGCCTGAAGGAGGATGTCATTTCTTAGTTCACCGGGAAAAATTCATGAGAGAAGCAGGTACACTGCAATGCCACCCCATTCCCCCGGTGTTGATTTCCTTCACCTAGTAACCATTGTAATAAAATCCCCGAACTGTATTTCTGAATATAATTAGTTTAAGATACTCTATAGGGAGGCACATTACAAAAGTTTAGCATTCAGTATATGTAAGAATAATAACCATTTAGAAAAAGAAACTGTCAAGATTATATTCTCACTGAGAAAATAAGAAGGTGTTTTGATAGGTTTGTTCAGCTCTTCAATGAGAGGATTCAAAACATCTCGTACTTTTGATAGCACGCTTTTCTATTTCTTAAATGAGTGATATGAAATATTTACAACCAGACAGTACCTAAATTTAGGTTTTAAGTGCTTTAACAGCTCCATGAAATATGATCAGCAGCTGCAATACAGAACTATGGTGAATAAACTCCTTATAAAGAGGGGCCTGTTTTTACTGAATGTCCAGTGTTCCTATATTTACCTAATAGAAAAAAAATGATAATGAGAAAACACAATAAATATTTTCATTCTTAAAGTACTTAACACTTAACTAAGTCTTGAAAAAGATTATCTCCCCTCTTCTTGAATTCTGTATAAAAACTGTGAAGTTTTGTGGGGCAAAATATGTTTAATTTTATTATTTGAAAGTTAGAATGTGAACTTCCTAACATCTTAACTTTTTATAACAATAGTCATGGTCTTTCTACTATTCTATCTTTCTAAAAATTCTAAATAATCTAAATGCACTGCATAAAATTTAAAAATGAAATATCAAGCCATACAAATATATTTTTAGACACGACACCAGTCATTTAGAGCTTACAACAGAGATTGAAAACATGAAATTGGACACTCTATTTCCCATGGCTATGTAAAATTTATTTACACCCCAAAGCACAGCATAAATAAAAAGGACACTCTTAGAAATAGAGAACTTGTTTTTCTTTTTTTTAAAACCCAAAGAGGTTTCTTAAAAGAAAAAATAAAATAAACTATAGCAAAATGACAAGAACTCATCTGCCCTCAGAAAAGAAACTCCTATGCAGAAAATTTTTTTTCTTCAGCTTCTAGAAACCCACTAAAATTCAGCATCGATTTTTCTTAACAATTCATAATGATTATTTATACAATCATTCTTTTTTATACAAATCTTAAGATTTTTAAAACTTGAACACACTGCTTTAAAAATGTTAATTGCGAATATATACATATATGTGAAACTTTTTATTTTGGAAATGAGAAATTCAAATATTCAATAAATACTAATAAAAAGAAAACAGTGGAATAAATCTTATTTCAGTTATAATTGTGAACCAACCTGTAGTTACAAATGGCCTTTAAATATTGAAACATACTATTTTCAGGAAATTTACAAAGGAAAACAGGCTTTTGAAAACCATATTGATTTTAGACCTTTACTTATTAAGAAAGACAAGGACATGTCCCTAATAATCATGGAAAAGAACTGTTCCCAACAAATCTAATTATGTTGCTTTCAAAGCTGTAGCTGTCAAAAATTTTAACATTCTTGTACAGTCATTTCTAAATACCAGTTTAACTTTGAATGAGTTACAACTTTTAATCAGGTGGAACAAACTATTTTTACGGCTTATAACAATAAATGTGGGTGTAGTTATATCTGCTTTCGATATTGTTGCCATAAAAATCAGATTCTGGCAGTCTTAGTTTGTTTCTTGTTACTATTGCTTTTTATTTCTTGGGATAATGTTATTTTTAAAAATACACAAAAGTTTTTGAATGCAGTCTCCTAAAACGCCCCATACCAGATAGATATTAAATATTTTGTTTTGGGATTCTCTCCCTGCCCCCTGTAGTTTTTGGTTCTTCAGGTACAAGCTTGCCAACAATATTTTAAAAGAAAAAAAAAAAAAAAGGCACTGATTCTGCTTAAAACCAAACTGTACCGGGGAAAGGAATTCAAGTGCAATCCTTGCTCTAAGGTTTAAAAAAACAAAAACAAAAACAACGCAACAAACAAAAAACCATCGTCAACTTTCAGTCCTGTCAGTCACCTACGTGTAAGTGAAACTTCAGAAGCTGTTGATAGGGAGCCCGCGGTTGTTAAACGCTCCTAAGACTCCCACCTAAATCCCGTAGGAGCCCGCACTGAAACTGACAAACGCCCGAGGGTTCACAAAGTGGCCGCAGAGGAGAAGAGGAACAAAATGCCATATTCCAGGAGATGTATTTCGCTCCAACAATTACGTTGATCCCAGGGTGCCAAGCCAAAAGGGGTAAGGGAGAAAGAAAACTGTTAAGTATGAGCTCTTAATGTGAAACCTAACCTGTTGGTTCTCTTAGGTATCAGATTTTGGAAGTGTCTGTAATGACAGCCAGGAAAGCAAACTAATGGCCAACGGCCCACTGGGTTTGAACACCAGACTCCTGTTACCTCCTCACAGATCAAGTACACAACACACACGGACACGGAGGTGCTCCACGTGGAACTTCTCGGGAACCGTAACACATGCCCCGGCGCTATTCTGCACCTTGGCAGAAAGAGCAGAGGGACCTGCACCTTCCTCCTCTGCCCTCAGGTTAAGATTAATGAATGACTCTCTTGGCCTGCTGGGGATGATGGGCAAAGGCGCAGGGGACGCGATGAGGGAGGACAGTCTCCACACCACCCTCCCCCGGACACTCTCACTCAGGGCGCAAACCCCTTCTTCTTCATAGGAAGGAGAAAGAGGGGTGGTGGTGAAGGGAGACACTGTCCCCCCAAGCAGGGAAGATATGGGAAAAATTAAATTGCACTTTCTGCCTTTGCCACAGCTCTGCCACTAGACTCGGTCCGCAAATTCCCTAATCGGTCCGAGCTGGTCCGAATCTCGCAGACAAAGAGAGAAAACTCAAGTGCTACCAATCGAAAGTTCGGGTTGCTGTGCGGCGCAGAATAAAACGAGCACACACACGTCTACTTCCGAACCCCGCTTAACCACGGTAAAAATCCAAACCATTTCAAGTCCCACAGCCTCCCCAGACCCAGCAGCCTTGGCAGGAGGGAAAAGCCTGCTCTCCCCACCCAGACGCCTTCCTTTGGAGAAGTTATAAGCCTTCCATGGGGCACCCGCTACTCGAGCCAAAGAACGCGACTGCTCTGACAACGCGCCTCTAATTTCACGGACCCTGGCAAACTGCAGGAGACATTCAGTCCACGCCACATAAAAACTATTAAAGTGGGATCGCCGCTGTTGAAAAGCCCGATCAGTGCCTGGAGATTAGAGCGCGAGCCTGTGAAGTACACACGCACCCGGCATCGGGAAAGCCCAGGCTCCTGGGACCCTCCGAGGGACGCTGGGTCAGCATCCTCGCGCCTTGGCCATCTAGGGGTCATCAGAAAATAATACATATCATAGGGAAGACGTGGGGGAGACTCCGATGCGCGCGCCTCTGCCAGGTGGAGGCGGGTGCAGGCAGAAGCCGCGCGCAGGACTGCGAGGGGCGAGGAACTCCGTTATGCTCAGGCTCTGCGCCGACTCAGGAAGGGACAGGCCGACTCCGAGGGGACCCTTGGGGCGTGGGGACGTCCTCCAGGGCAGAGAGCACCGCTGCAATCCGCGCGGCCCGGGCCCTGAGGCGTGGAGCACCCGGCCTCCAAGCACCCCCGGGGACGCCGGCGCCAACGCACCGTCCAGCTGCGCGTCTTCCGTCCCCACCGCTCGGCGTTCCCGGCGGAGCCTCGAGCACTTTCCCGGAGAGTTTGAGGGCTCTCCAAACTCAGGCTCGCCCGGGAGCCCCGGGACGGGGATTGGAAGAACGGGACACTCACCTCGTAGCCTGGACCGCCTCGGATTCCCGAAGTGTCTGTCCCAGCCGCGGCTCTGTGTTTCCGTAATTAAGTATTTATTCTCCTTCCTTCCAGTGTCGAAGTTTCCCCTTCGCGCTGTGCCTCTGGTGAAAACAGGACATCCCCTTCGGCCACCCCACAACAAATAGCGTACACAAGCGGGGGAGAAGCGGGGCGGGGGGAGAAGCCGGCTCCGGGGGGGCGGGGGGAGGAGGAAAGGAGAGGAGCCAAAACTCCGACTGCGACCGAGGGTAAAGAAGAAGAAAAGTAAAAGAGAGCGCGCGCCCAGCCTCCGCAGTCGTCACTCCCCAGCTTTTCCCTCAGCTCCCCTCTGTAAGGCAGCGACAACTTCACGCGGACGGAATGGAAGTTTTGCGCGGAAGCGGGGAACGGCCGGAGCGTGCGCCTCGCTGCGGGCAGCCTCGCACTTGCGCGCGGAGGTGGGGCGGGGGCGACGTCGCCGCCAGCTACTGCGGGCTCGGGCGGCCGCCCGGGGCCTCGGGGCAGGCCGCCAGGGACGCAGGGGGCGGCGGCGCGCGGGGGACCCACTCCGTTTTTATTCGACCTCGGGTGACTGCCTATTGTCATCGTTTGCGATCTCGCGTGGGAACCGTCCTGGGCCTCTGGGGCCTGGATGTCCCGGGTGGCGCCGCCGTAATCTCCGCGCCCTCCGCGCCACCCCCACCCCGCCCCCACCCGGGCCGGCTGGAGCTGCTGCAGCCTACAGGCTGAGGGGAGGGACCCGCGGCCGCGCTCTTCTTCCTGGGCGAGAGAACCACTGTGGATCCCCACCTGCTTCTGTGGGGCAGCCCCCGGAATTGCCTGGAACTCTCTTGCTACCCAGTTCCCCTGTGCAGGCCACTGCGAGCCCCCTGCCGGACTCCTTTCCACTTACCCCAAGGGAGGAGACTGAAGGGACTTCGCCTACTTGCAACAACGTGAAATAAAAACTAACCCAGACCAGACTGGGGCGCTTTTTCTGACAGGAGGAAATACCCTTTTCCGTGGAGATGTATGTTATGAAGGACTAAGCAGTCTGGGGATAGGCTGTGCTGGGAAGGGCCTGGGCCCCTTCCAGTGCTGGGTGCAGGTATAGGCATCCCTCCCAGACTCCCAAAGGTCAAGCAGAAACGACTTATTCCAAGGCAGCGTCAGAGCTTCCCTAGGCACATTGCTGAAATGACATTTCGTGCCTAAGCCTCCTGCGCATGCATTACGCTCCAACATAGGATTTACGATTCTATACGCACATGTGTGTATACTACAACCGGGGGAAACAGCAAAGGTAGACCGCATAAATAATCCATAAATTTCGCGTCCATAAAATCACCTCTTCCAAAAACCTATTGTCTATTTTAGCGGCCTCTTCTTTGTCATATTGATAATAAATGTTTTACTTTATTGATAAATCGCTGAGTGTCAGTCATTGTATTGGTCACTTGTGGTACATGAGTTCATTTGGTTTTCATGACAACGCTACGGTGGTCATTATTAAGCCGGTATAAAAGATGAGAAACCAAAGCCCTAAGAGTCATGAGTAACTTTTCCAAAAGCAAATCCAGTGTTCTCTAATCACGAAGCCTATGATACAACAAGCAACCTCTACATTACCTTAGGTCTAAGAGTGGTCTAAGAGATTACAGACTAACCCGTTGAAATTACTCCCATTCAAAGAAAGTTTAGTTTTAATATATTATTCACTAATTTACGTTATCAAAAGGTTTGGAAAAATGATTTCATCCTCAACTTCAGGTTGGTCTTACGCAACTGATATGAACACTGTCCAATTCAAAAGCAGTTATCAACACTGAATACTTATGGTTACAATTTATTTTTTAATGAGTAGGGTATTATCTACAATGCTTAAGAGGCTCTAGAAAAGGTGGAGTTGTAAATTTAAAATGATAAAAGCCGTCGTTGCTGCTCTCATCACTTACTGGGTGTTCTTTCCTGCAGATTTATTTTGGAAGCTGTAGGCATTGCCAGGCATAATGTTTCCTTTTCTGGTTCTCAAGGTAGAAAGGGTTCTGGCAGTGGGTTTGGCACAAAGGGGATTTGGAGCATGGTTGAGAGCACATTCTGGCCTAAGGAGGAATGCCAGTTAACATACACTGGAGAGAAAAATATCAATGGGCAGACTTAATTAATTTTGCAGATTTATTTTCTCCGTTTCACATGTGAGAAAACTAAGGGCTCAGAATTTATAGAAGCTTGCTAATAAATTGCAGAACTGAGTTTCAAGCCAGCCTTTATTTAAATCCACTCTTAGTCATTGCGATGCTATTATTAATATTAATGGTATTCAGAAAAACAGTAATTGTTTTAATATGTAATATGTTACAAGCCAAATATGCAATTTAAATGTTTTGTGAATCATAGTGTCTAAGAATGCTCTATGGCTATAGCAAGTGTCATGTAAGAATTATGTACAATTATGAATTTAATACTGTCCTAAAAAGGCAACAACATTTTGAATTTCATTTTGGCATAAAATATTATGTGCTAGTTTCACCTATAAATAAAGGTGGGAGATGCATAATTTGAATAAAATAAAAATTCATACTTTAGCATGTTAACATAAATGTAGGTTGACTTTTTTTAGCATGTTTCTTTGTACCCTTCTAAAGTCAGATTTTTCAGTTACACTGACCTTGCTTTCAAGGTCATTTTGCTCCTGCATAGTTTTTTATACACCTAGATAAGAATACATGAACAGAAATTATTTTTTAAACCCAGAATAATATGTTAGTTATTTGACTTCATATTACTACCTTCTAATAGTTGTATTAAATGTACACATTAACATGGACACCATTAGGAGTGAGATAAAAGGTCATATTTTCAGTCCACATTAGAGATGGGGTTTCACCATGTTGGCCAAGCTAGTCTTAAACTCCTGACCTCATGATCCACCTACCTCGGCCTCCCAAAGTGCTGTGACCACAGGCATGAGTCACCATGCCCAGCCAGACTCAAGTTAATGCAATAAAGTGCATTTCTGATCACCTGTTTCCTCAACATTTACATATTTATATTTCCAAGATATTCCGTAGAGCATGAATCTGTGCAGAAGAATTAGGCTTCGACTAAAAATCTTTCTACATTTATCTCTTGAGTTTAGCAAACAGTAAGTCATCTCTAAATATCTTTCTTCATCTCTCTTTTTTTAGGGTTTCTTTTTATTGTGAGTCATCTGATGTCAAGAAAGCCTTGAGTTTAAGCTAAAAGCTTTTCCACATTGATTACACACAAAGTGTTTCTCTCCTGTATGGATTTTCTTGTGTTTATTAAGATTTGAATTATTGTTAAAACGCTTTCCACATTCACCACATTCATAGGTTTAACATAGGAAATAGAATTTTAAGGTTATAAAGACAAAAATGTATTGTTTGCTTAAATGAGGCATTATTTCCAGCATTTACATTGAGTACCACTTTTATAATTATAGCCATATCACCTATAATATTATTGACTTAATATGTATCTTTAAATAATCTATTTTTATTACATAAATTTATCAGATAAAGGGCATTTTTATAGTCACTATAAATGGAGAACTAATAAAACCTGCCATGAATAGAAGACAATCTTGCAAAAGAAACTCTATTGTAGAAATAAAAGTTATTTCTCATGTACCACCTAAAATTATCTCGCACACAGTTTCAGAAACATTGGTTTAAAGAATTACGTTCCATATGTTATTCAGGCTCTTCAAGATATATTTTCAAGCCTCCCCTTTTCATTACCAGAACAAAATGTTGCATCCAAGTTACTTTGGGTAATACTTTTTAAATTCTGTGCTTAGTTAATGATTGCTCTTGTCTAAAATATACTTGAAGTCTCTGAAGTTGAGGCATCTTTTTAAACTTCATGTATTATTTATTGTTTTGCTGACTATCTTACTTATGGCAAAATGCAAACAATTCATGAGTACACAATTAAAAAGCAAATTACTTTCCTTACATATTGTATCAGTTACTCATCACCCTTCCCCAGCATCTGTTAGCCTGGTACTGCAACAAAGTTCTATAGACAAGGAAGAAGAGAGGGAAAGTAGAACAATGGGAGAAACTCAAAGGGCCTAAAAGGTTACATGGGAGAAACTGAAGTCAGAGACCTGCTGCCAGAGTCTAGAAGTGATTCAAAAACACCAGTGTGTCCTGCATGACATGAATCAGGCTCTCAGAATATTTGTACGTGTTAAACTCAATCTGAAAATGACTATGTGTTGGGAGGAGTGGGGAAATAAAAAATATATGACTTTATAGTGAAAATCAGTGGAAATACAAGATTCACTTATTAGCAGTTCCCTCAACCAACTTCTCTGGGGTGGGATGCCTCTGTAGTTACCATTTACCATTTGTTTATTTTTCAAATGTGCATGGCTCTATTTTGGCGTTAGATTTTGTGTAAGTCAAATCAAACAAACAAAAGTGCTCTAGGAGCTCATAATCCAAAACATAATTTTTGTTTTAATTTCATTTAAAAGCAACCTTAAGGGAAAAACCAGGTCATCACTTTAGTAAGAAGATTTTAGGCTAAAAATTGGAATAAAACACTACATTTACAGAAAAAGAATGCAGAGTACTGGATGCTTGTAGAAATAATCCCAAAATAAATCTCTTGAGCACCTTTTGGTATATCTATGAACTCCAGCTGGAAGTATACACAATTTTTCAAAAATACAATAATTCAGTTGTTTCTTAGTAAATCTAAGCCAAACTATTTGAGCTTTGGATGTATGGAGTTTTAAAGACCAACCTTAATACGAACAAGGTTGAACGGTCTTTTAATCTACCTCTGTACTGATGACAGACTACAAGAACAAATGAAGATAAAACATGATTGCCCAAGAATCTAGAGCCCTGTGCTGCCGGTTTTCTAAAATCTATAAATAAACACACTTTCTGAGTAATTTTGTGCAGACAGACCAAGCTTAAAAAGGTTTCTACTAGATTGTGAAAGTGAAGAAATCAAATCTTCAGGGGACCTGCTAAATTTCCTCATTCTTGGCAGGGCCTCTAAAAGAAAGGAAATGCACATTTTCTGGGAGACGGCTTCATTGTATTTACTTTTAGATTTTCTCTTGAAAATTCTCTCCAGTTGAATCATTTTAGTAGCATATTAGGCAACTCTACTCCTTCTTCCATGCTTACACTCAGCCTTCAGATGTTTATAAACAGATATCATGCTCACTTTTAAGTCATGTTAGCCACGTTAAACAAATATAAGGCCTTTTAATCTTGTGGCAGTTCAGTCTTTACAAACCGGTAATCATTCTTATTGCTTGTCTCTGAACTATTTCCAGTTTCCTAGATGTTCATTTTTGTTAGAGGTATCCCACATTAAATACATTGT